ACAGACCTCTCCACATCCTGGTCCTGAACGCAGGGCTGTTTGGGTTACCATGGCAATTGACAGAAGACGGTCTGGAGAGCCTCTTCCAGGTAAGCTCAAACCCAACATCCTCAACTCCCAGGACATTTCTCATCATCAAGGTAGACAGAATACTTTAACTTTCGGCCTGATAAGTTAGCTGTTTGGCACCAAATTTGCATGTGTTACAGGGTTGGGCAGTAGGGAGGAGGTTAGGGAGAACAGTACCATGTAGTGCAGCACAAAAATGTACAAGATGTTGTATTTGATGAAGAAATTCACAAGATTTTGGAGACAGTTTCTTGTAGAATACCAGCAGATGTTTGCTGTCAGAACAATGGGTTTCTTGTTTTTTGTACAGGCAAATCACCTGACACACCTGTGCATTATTGTTTACAGGTGAACCACCTGGGACAGTTCTACCTGACACAGCTGTTTGTTTAATGTACAGGTAAATCACCTTACACACCTGTTGTTATGCAGGTGAATCACCTGGGACAGTTTTACCTGACACAGCTGCTGGAGGACGTCCTGATCAAGTCTGCACCTGCCCGGGTCGTGGTCGTGACCTCCGAGTCTCACAGGTTAACCTTCAAACTGTAGATCAAGTAGATCAAGTTTCGAGTCATCTCCTCAGAGTCTCATAGGTTACCCTTGTATGGAGTCCCTTGATATAGTCTATATTTGGCACGATGGGCTCCTCCAACATCCACAGTTCCTGCTGTTCTGTGTCTCCATGTTGTCTAGTCTGTACCTGCCAAGGTTATGTGAAAAGGTCATGGTTGTGTCTGCCCCTCTCCCCACAGATAAGATGTTTCCAATGGAAAAAATAGCCCTTACAAAGGAACTATGCAACTCTGAGAGTACACCCCCCCTAACCCCCCCCCTGTTGCTCAGGTTTGTGGAGTTGAAAGACCCCCCTAACACCCCCCTGTTGTTTAGGTTTGTGGAGTTGAAAGGCCTCCCCCTGACTGAAGAGTGGCTCTCCCCCTCTGATGACAGAGTCTGGCCCATGGAGCAGTACAACAGGACAAAACTCTGCAACCTGCTCTTCTCACAGGTCAGTACCAGTCACCTACAAGCACGTTGGCAGAACGTACTGTGCTTGCACAGAACCCTGTATTTTCACGGTTTTCAGTGGATGTTTGGTCAACGTTGCATCAGAATTTTGCCTGTTGCAGAGGATATCTTTTCCGACATAACATTAATAATTTTGGAAACCACAGATAGGATGTTAAAGTGATATTATGTAGAATTTTGACTATTTTAGAAATCTTTCTTTTACACATTTTCTTGCTCTTTACACCTACCTGACTTCATGATGACATTTGGGGATTAACATATCAACGTCGTTTCGCCGCAAATACGCGTTGGAAAACTGCGCACTCCGCGGCGCTAGCGCGGATCGTGGCCATGTTTGTTTACATCCGACCGCGTCCGAGCATTCCCGAATCCAGCCGAACCGCAGGTCACCGTAGAACACGTTATTCTCTAAAATACGGCATATGCCGGGTCACGATTTGACAACTGTCAATAGTGCAACAAAAACACCTTAGACATACGTAACGTTTATACTTTTTCATATCTACAGGATTTGCCTAGTACAACAATGTAGATATTTCGTGCATTACAAAATGACAGCGATCGTTATGGCCTTCCAAACATTAGCATTTTTGGTTAGTTTATCTGTGCTTATCTTTTTTTACTGGCCAACTGGATCCCATTAGCTAATACCACAGTATGATAGCCCACATCTTCACCTTTACATCGATACCAAAGTCCCCTGGTTAGTTTTAGGACAAACGGGTTTGCCCCCAAAGAAAACCGCGACGGTGCACACATCGCGGTGACGAAATTTTAGCCCAGTTGTAGCTACCGGCGCACACCATTCTGAGTTTCCGCAACATTTTGATACATTTAGTGTAATGTCATAAACTTCGTTCATCGGTATGAGAAACTGTATGAATGTGGCTACCACATGCAATATGATAAGTGACATGATAACTTTCAAGTATATACAAAAAGAGGATTTTAGATTAGGTACTGACCCTTCAAAAATTGGCAAATTTGAAGTCAATCGGCTTCGAACTCCAGCGTTCGAAAGCGTTCGAACCATGGAACCCAGACACGCGCCGGAAGTTGCCGAAGATTTCCGAACGAAAACCGTTGTTTGTTTACATTCTATTTATTGTGGCACAAATAAATACGTCTGGCCTTGCGCAACTTATTCTCGCGCAGCGGCTGAGTTGCCGAAAAGGCGAAATGGCGACGCTGATACGTTGAAAGTTATCGAAAATTACAATCTACATGAGAAAATTTCAATTATTTGTATTTTCAGTTTTGGCGCGAAAATCCTACATAATATCAGTTTAACCTTATATGCGCAAATACAACCTTATGTGAGACGTTCTGCAGAAGCGCTATGTACAATAATTTACGGGTTTCGCTGTGGAAAGTTAGGGAAAGTTCATTAACACCTGCTGTGGGTCTGTGTGCTATGGAAAGTTAGGGAAGGTTCATTAACACCTGCTGTGTCCCCAGGAGCTGCACCGTCGTCTGTCCAGGCAGGGAGTGACCAGTAACGCCCTCCACCCGGGGAACATGATCTCCACTGACCTCCCCAGGAACTGGTGGTTCTACAGACTTCTCTTCCTGCTGGTCAGACCATTCACCAAGTCTCTGGTGAGTCTCACTTCTCAATTATTCATCATTCATTCATTCATTCACTCACTCACACCCTTCACTAAGTCTCTGGTGGGTTTATCTACAAGTCTTCTCATTCATTCAATCATTCATTCATTCATACATTCATTCATTCACTCACTCACTCATTCATTCATTCACTCACTTACTCAGACCCTTCACCAAGTCTGGTGAGTTTATCTACAAGTCCACTCATTCATTTGCTCATTCATTTATTCAAACATTCATTCCTGTTTGTAACTTTGGCTAAAACACATGTGATGACAGGTGATTATCCAATCATGCTAAATTAATCTATGTATAATGTCTGTCCAGTGATGTCAAAATGACGTCCCTTTTGTGTAGATTTGTCAAGTGTTGTCAGCAGTAGTGAAAAGGTTCCATTGTAAGTTAGCAGAAGTCAGGAGAAAAGCCTCCATAAATTCGCTCCTTTGTTTCAAAGTCAATTTCTTGGCGTGTTTGACAGCCAGGAAAAGTAATTTTGACGGAGCCATAAAACCCCCATCACAGCTTCCATAGAGGGGTAAATATCCGGACATTAAGTCCTGGTAGGGACGGGGCAATGGGCAGGGTTAATTAGGTATAATTGGAAAACTTACAGGTCTGAGCACCGGAGGGGCAATAATATGGGCTTTATGTGGTGCCTATTATATACATGTCAGGGTAACGTGTGGTTATGTGTGGGGGGGATGGGCCAACTATTAACTGTAATGTGGGGTGTGTATGGGGGGGTTGGGGTATGTGACAACTATTAACTGTAGTGTAGGGGTGTGTATGGGGAGTTTTTCTGGGAATGTGCCGATGATTAACTGCACCATGTGGGGTTCTGTATGGGGGTTTGGAGGCTATATGTAGTACCGGTGAACTGGTCAGTCCTGGCTTTGCTAAGTG